TAAAAAATTCAATAGAATTATTTTATTTATTCCCTAACATGCTAAAGCTAAAAAAAAAACTCCATAAAACTGTCAACAAAGGTGCATAATTATTGGGTAAACGCGTAGGGGGCCAAACTCCCCCACGAGGGTAATATGTGTAACTTAAAAAAAGCGAGTGTTGTTAAGGATTAAATGTGATGATTTTATTTTGATACGCCAACTAGTAATTTGTGTATTTTAGAAATCTACGCATTCGAAGTTGCAGGAAAAAGGTAGTATTACATATAATAAAATCGTAATGAAGCGAAAACTGTAAATTATTTATTAGTTTAGAAATGTGGTTTATGAGTATATAGCTGCACGAGATAAGAACCTTACCCGATAACAGACATATGTAACGGTTGTCTTCGACGTGAAAGAAAAGTTTTTACAATTATAATTTACTGAATGTATCCTGAACACAAATCGAAATAGTTAACGAAAAAATAATTAAAAAAGAAATTAAATGTAGTTTAAGTAGTTAAATGTTTCAATTGAAAGTATATTTATTTTATCAAAGAGCGACTTCACAGTAACTTATTACGTCTAAAAGATTAAACACTTAATTTAGAGTTCGTATAGAGCTAAAGAAAATTCCGTCGTTTACGGAGTAAGTCCCAGTTTTAACATTTCCGAGTGCAAAACAAGTCCGTGAAACTTGTTCCCGTTGTGCGACCACACGGGACGTGTTTATTGCAAATAGGAGCTCAGCACCAGAGTGAAGTAAACTGAACGAGATACCGCACATAGATGGGAAATGTAGAGGAGTTATCAAATATATATTCACACTTACACTAACATAGTAATATGACTATTAATCTTTATATCGAGATATTTTTTTTTTCAGTTGGTAAATAAGATTTGCATTTTATGTTTATTTTAATCATAATGTATTTTCTAATTTTCACGACTCTGTTTAATGTTCAATTAGGTATTGTCAATATTAATTTAATTGTAAAAATAACCTCTTTAAATAAAATGATAAACGAATATAATTATCCCAGTATTCAATTTAAAACACCTATCTTGTGCTATAATAAATTAATAAAATTTTAAGGGTAAATTTCAGAAACACAAATAAGAGTAATTCTAGACATTAATTATAAGCGAAGCATAATATAAATAATATAAAGTTATTAGTTGTTTATTATAAAGTATGTAATGTCACTTATGGGCGGGAGCATTTACATACCAACTTGAACCCTTCAACTCGATGCAAGGACGTGCTATCAGAATTGTCGATGATCACAGGCTTAAAATCGGTATCGAACCAATCGTGTTTTAATGCTTGTATAATGGATTGTACTCAAAAGAATTATTTACCACGATGCTCACGACCAGTTTCTACCATCGTACAGCTCGCCACCTAGAGGGAAAAACTAACATTTTAAAAGTTGACTACTCTATTGTTCACCTCTGTGAAAAAAAGTAACATAAACATTTTAAAAGTTGACTACTCTATTGTTCACCTCTGTGGAATATCACGTTGTGCGCCGTTTTGTTGTTATTATTTTATTCTCTTGATGGATATTGCTTGTATCTTATAAAAGGTAAACAAAATCTAAAAGACTGTTTGTCCCTATGAAATCGTTATTTGTTTTGTTCCGATGTCTTTTTCTTTCGAATCTATTGTATTGTGTGACGTAAAATACTCTATACACGTAAGTAATTCGTTACAATATTGTGCTATGTTTCGTATTTATAGATTAGTTGTAACCCCGACTTCTTTTACGTGCACGTAAGAGGTTATGTAGGTACTTCATATATCGATCCATTTTGAAGTGGAAATTGGAATGATCTAAATAAAATATTTAATGTGTTATGTATTGGCCACGAGCAGGCAAAAAAGCAGCTAGAACTATCACTATAGCACATAGGAAGTATACAAGTATATATATTGTATAAAAACATTATTAAAAATATTATTATAAACGCATAGAAATACATTAGAAATGCATTAAAATGAGGGTAAGTGGTTATTAACGACATGTTTAATTTCTGGTTCATCACGATGGGTAACCTGTGACTCTACCATGAAATGAAATTCTGAATGTTCGAACTCAATTTCGTGTTTCGCTTATACCGAAATCGGCCCAGTAAATGTAGCTAACATTTCGTTCGTCATAAATCCTACCATAAAAGTCCAAAGGAATAACATTTTAACATTTTTAAACAGTACGTATTATGTAATTTTAACATACATTTTTTGTTTCATTCGGCCTCGAAATTTTGGAAATATTCATGGTAGGTCCTCTAACTTCAATCTCACGTATCATTTCACACTAGTGCCCAGCTAGCGCAAGTGAGTTTTTCATTTCATTTTATCGAAAGAACAAATCCTTACTGCACTCAACACCACCGAAGCTCTGTGTCAAATGGAATGAAGGCAAATGATCCGCGTGAAATTGTATTATCGAGATGATCAGAATCCTCAACATTGAGGATATCGACGCAAGAACGAGGAAGAGAAGTAGTACTTATCATACTTTGACTGACGTGTCTTTTAGTAACAATCAAGTGGCATACTAAGAATATATAAATCCTTTTTTTTACGTATATTATAAATTTGAGAGTGAGTTTGTCATGTCCTGGTGTTTTAACGGTTCAAAAGTCATGCAAATTGTTGTACGTCTTGCATTTGGGACGGAAAATTAGATAGCCTATTTTATATCCCGATTAATCAATTATTATAAGTTAATTAATACCTATATAACATCTCGGTGACATGGATTAGCCGCGCATAGAAATTATTCTAGAATAAAGTAATCTCAAATTAAGCGAGTTATGTGTATAAATAAGCACTAGTGAGATGCTGAATTGAAAGTGCTATTGCACCTTTCTTACGGAAACAAAACAAAGCTAGTTTTACTGTTTCAGAGAAGAACTGATATAATTTGTTTATACGTGTATATATATATATATATATATATATATATATATATATATATATATATATATATATATATATATATATATAATATATATATATATATATATATATATAACATATATATAATATATATATATATATATATATATATATATATATATATATATATATATATATATATAACAAACAGGAATAAAAAAATTTAGTTAATTGACAATGTATTTTATTTTTTTGTCTGTTGTATTTTTAAATGATTAGTTTAAAATAAAGATTATTTGATTTAAATATAAATAAAATATCGGCAAGTCATACAAATTCTACCTATAAATTAATAAGTCGTTATCGAGGAAAACAGCTTATCATGGTACTATTTAAATAATGGTATAATTTTAAAAAGCTTTATAATTATAAAGATATTGCTTAAGTGTTATTTTAAAATAACGTGTTGGCCATACATGTATAAAATTATAGGTTATATTTTTGGTAAACAAGCAATGAATTTTCGAAAATTCATTGTTTATTTTTCAAACTGAATGCGTAATGACACGAGCTGGGTCATTGTACATTCATCGGAATTTATCGTATAATTTTTAACCTTCCGTCTATCAATCATCAATTATATTATCAATTATCATCAAATCATTTATACGTTAGTTATATTAGTTTTATTGATCTTTCGAGTGGGATAAGATGAAAATATTAATAAAAATTGTGCATACAAACGCAGGTAATTGAAAATAACTAATTTACAAGACAACTTTTGTAATATCTTAGTTTACTACGAAGTACGAAGTGATTTATTGAAACAGACCGACAAAAGAATTAATTACTTAACGGACCGACCGCAGGTACTGGAAGAACTTTGCTTGCCGTATTAAATTGAACTGACTATGTCTTCACTACTGAATAAAGCTGAATATAGTGGAGAGCTGGAATAGTTGGTCGCAGTGACGGTCAATTTAATATAAGTAAATTTTATATTAAAATGACAAAGGATACATTGCCTTATCATTTATAATCCTAGACCTATTGGTCCTTCGAGTCGGATAAAAAGTAAATATTTAATAGTAAAAACCTGTACCCATACAAACCCAGGCAGTTAAAAATAGACTACGTAAAAGCGTCAGCGGATTTATTGACCTACATAATTTATTACAATGACGTTGGGATGATCGGAAACATTTTAGATGTAAAATAATTATCTATTTATATCATTTGACAAATATTTTTTAAAACATTATCATGGAAATTGATTGATTTCCATTATATCTTAATTAAAAATTAGAATTTCTTAATTTTAGAAAATAGGTAATATTACGTATAACAATTAGTAAGTAACTACTGTAATTAAGAATTTGTTCTGTAGGTATATTTCTGTTAATAACGTGCTGCATTAATTACATAGAATTTTACAATTAAGAATAGTTCATATTATTTTTTAAATAAGTATTTATAATACAAATATCAGTGCAAAAGAAAAAAAAATCTCGAATTAAAACTGTATTACAAAAAGCCAGTATGGTAATGGTAATAGTAGGATAAAATGTTATAGGAAGTGCCTAGTAGATTTTGCGATGCTAACGTAATGGGTTGTTTTGTTATAAAGATAACTTGATAAACAAGTACGAGTACAATTAAATTTAATAAATAAAATTTGCACTAACCTACATAGAATTTGTAATGCCTAAAATGTATGAAACTGTAATAAGGAAATTCTCATTTGATCATACCTTGTGAAAAAGTAAATAGATTATAATATATAATAATAATTTTAACAAAAAAAAATACGTTTTATCCTAAACATAAACGCTTTGCATAAAATAAGAAAATGTTTGATTTTTACATTTTATTTATAAAAAAAAAAGCTGGAATAATACCTATCTTCTTTTAAATATTGCCAAGCGTGGCAACTACTAGAAAACCCTCCAATACCAGGAGGCCTAAATTTAAAAGTGGACAGTTAACAGCTGATATGAATTTGATGAATTATTAGGATAACAATACATAATCATGTTACAACTAGTTATTGTAGAGAACATTAAGTAAAAATTGCTAAAAAGTTATAAAATATGAAATACTAGTAACTGACCTGGTTCATGGTGTGCCGACGGCGAGGGAGCTGAGAAGGCGCTGGAACAACCCGCCGTGCGCCTTAGCTCGGACACTAGACATAATGAAACATTATTAGTGGTGTTTAAAGACTACTTTCTATATATATATATATAAATGGTATTAATGATACATACAATTTAAGCAACTTCCAAAAGCTGTATTTTTTTTTTAAATTCCGTTTTCTTGCGACTCTGATACATTGTGTTTGTGAAAATGTGAGCGATTACTTTGTGAATATTGAACGGATCTTTATTATTCTTTTTATAATCGATAGTTTTACTACCGTATTACATCTAATTTATTTAATTTTAAAACTATTGAAGCTGCTATTTATTTTTAATAGTAAAAAAGTGCTTGTTGCAGAAAATCTTTCTAAAAAATTCAAGTTGTAAATTCAAATGTGGGGTATGTACGAAACTATTTCTACTATATATATCTATAAAACATATAAAACTAGAGTTGTAGTAAATATGATGTTTTATATACATACATATATAAAACATCATGTTTACAATTAAAGTAGCTTTTTTTGTAGAATAATAGGTATAATACTTATTACTTTTTTTAGTCAGAAAGTGGTCTCAATACGAGTAAAATATAAAATTGCTGATATCAAAGGAAGATAATTTTAGTAATGGCAGTATTAGTATGACCACTTTGTAATTATTTCACAGTTTTTCAAATCAATAAACTCATAAACCTTCATTTACGATTCTCTGCACATGTTCAATGCATTAATTTATTCTTAGAAACGTTTATACTAAACCGTAAAGTTTTACATTTTTTGAAGTGGGAAACACAAAGATTAATCAATACGAGAACTAAATTATGCAATGACTATATATCTGTAGAAGAAATTATTAACATTTTAGAATCTTTTATTATTCGAGTTAAATTTAAATTCGTGTCTTAATAAAAATTAACAAATGTTAACGTTACTACGCATAATTTACTAATTTATAGCAGTGGTTCCAAAAGTTGACTGCACTGCGACCTGTCTCATAAAAACTTCCAAACTCGGGAGTCATTTCTAAGCTGACATAAAGAAAAAAATGTGCATAAACTAATAGTGATGCTCAGGTTCTCCTAGTGGTGACTTAAGCGACACTAATTTGAATGAAGAACTGTTCAAATAAAAAAAAAACTGTCTTAGAAAGTGGCTGTCAGGCTGTTTGTCCGTCGGGCGGTCGGCGTATCGTCCATGTTTTAGGGCGCACCCATATTTTGGAAATCCATACTTTGGGAGATTTATATATATATATATATATATATATATATATATATATATATATATATATATATATATATATATATATATATATATATATATATATATATATATATATAGAACACATTATATGATGATGATTTATTATAATATTATTCTAAATGATTATTTCTTCCACTCAAGTAAAAACAATTTATATACGAATAAAATATGAAACAATCATGTTTGAATCATACGAAAATTAACTGAATACGGACGAGGACATTAGTAAAAGTAATGTAAACACAATATCTGGTTGTCTTACATTAAAATTTATTGTTACTGCAAGCTCACTTTATAATTGGAGGTCGAAAGGTCGACGTTCAGATTTCATGATTAACTTTGCTCTTTTCTTCAAAATTTGCAGTACCTATGTTTTGTTGTTCAAAGAATTGCTTCTTTTGCAGGATAACGAACGGGTCGCGGGCGCTTATACTCTAATCGGGTTTTACTGAAATGGGATTTCGCTAAGCTATGAAAATTAAATGCTTCGCTCTCAAATTTGAATTATGCCGTGATGAAACTGAAATAAATTCTTCTACGATGTCTGTAATATAAACCTCAATCTGAGCAACGTATTTTATATTTGAACGAACTTTGTAGTTAAGCTTATAATTGTTGTTTGGATTTGTGACTAATGGTGACTTTTGTCGGGAAAATTGTATTTGTTTGTTCACTTTAATTACTTTCATTTTGACTTGCTTATCTATTACGTATTTTGGATGATTTTTGAGGCTTACTACAAATTCTTAAATTCTTTTATGATTGACGATGGTCATCTTCGAACAAGTGTCATATTTTATATGACGAACCTGATAAACGGTTACAATTAAGTTTGTTATATACTCGTTGGTGATAAACGCATTCTGGATTTTAATAATTACGTGTGAATAGATCACCCTGATATATATTCTAGTGCCGGGTGTTAATTTTCAATCAAAACAAAATGTATTACCATTCTTTAAATTTTTGTGATATGAAGATGAGTCACAGTACCAATTAATTTCACATATGTACTCTTCAAACTAGCAAGAAATAGGCAAAGCAGAATATTCAAACGGATAGTTTCTTTGAATTTCGATTATTTTTTAAGTTTTATTTTATTTTTAATATGTAACTATTAGCTTTCTTACATTCGACGTAATGACGATTTTTTTACTTATACAGTAGGTTGTGTATCAGGGGAAATTGGTAACCAATTTTTTTGCATGATCGAAAGGGATTGTTAGTGGTGGGGTCGAATGTCTCTATTACCATTGTGGTGAATTCCTGGCACATTATGATAGGTTAATTAACCTGCTTTCATCCTCACCTTTCATCTTTCACTGGTGCTCCACCAGCATATACCGTTAGCGCAGGCGGGGTTACCATTCCATTATTATCCATTAAAAACAAATGTCTCTATTGTTACCAACATACCTATTATCCTCACTGATATCTCGTCAGTATACACTGCTAGTAATTACAGTCAAGTTTGCTATTCTATTTGCATTTCATAAGTATATATATGTATATATATAATTTTATACGGATCCGATTAAGGTTCTGCAGTGGTTACGTACAGAATTAAATTGATTATCAAAGAGCGATTGTGCTGATTTGAACTCTAGTCTAGATGGGCGGTCACATAGATAAGTGGTACCTATTTAATATCAGCTAGATATGGGCGAGTTGGATCCCTGCCATTGGCGGACCACGCCGTATCGCTATGATGAACAAATCATACCTAACTCTCTTCATAAGATTTTTTATTATTCGTTATGTTATTATCTATTTAATTGACTTTATTATACAATTAAGTATTTATTTTATTTATGTAATTAAGATATATAGGATTTTTGATAATTTTTATTCAAATGAGGGATAATTTATTAAAGTTGATTTTCCCTCAATATTATTGTAGGTATATTATTAATATCAATGCATATAGTTTTATATCATGTCACCCAACTAATTATCCGTTTGTCCGTATATCTTCGCTTATCCATCCACTAGTTCTTTTGAAAAGTATATTCGTACTTAAGCTTTGTCGCTTTTATAAAGTAAAGAAGTTAAGCCTCTTGTGTTCGAGACACTTGTAGGCTTTCACCAAAATAAAATAGTATAATATTTATATATAACCAACTCAACTATGAGAAAAAAGAATTGAATATAGAAAAAATAATTGTTGAAGAAAAATTGGAAAAATATGCGAGCATTTTGGACCGCGATATGAGAGCATGTGTTGCGGTGAAATAGCGTAAGTTTCCGAAGCTGACTTGCTAGTTAAAAGTAAGCTGTATTGAACTGTACAATTCTGGAAAGTTGCGCCATTTACGACGTTCCAACGGGGTGAGTTTTGAGAGGATTAGAAAATTTACTACTCTTAGATTTAGCTGGTTCGCTTTGACAGCAAACAACATACAACTGTAATAAGATCGCTGTTGAATCTTTGTCTTTAAAGTCATGAAACAATTATGTACTTGTATTGCAAAGGGAACTTACAACTGACAAAAGATATAATTTGGCATAATATTTTATAGACAGTATTTAAACAAGTATGTCAATATATATATATATATATATATATATATATATATATATATATATATATATATATATATATATATATATATATATATACATGTTTATTATATGTCGTCCCTTAAAATCTTAAAATAGGAATTCTTTTTCTTCCTTGTTTTTTCGGGTCGTAAAATAAGATGCCTTCTGAGATTTTTCCCCTTGCACTACAATATGTGATTTTTAAAAAACATCCTTAATAATCTTTAAAAGGCCAACAACGCATTGCCAACACCTTTCGTGTTACAAGTATTCATGAGAGATATTAACCACTTACTCATTATTCAATCAGGTAAATCATCAACTTTTTTTTTGCTTCTCTAACAATAAAAAACTTATTTGGCATAGTACTACGAAGATTTGTGCCTTTGTTGATGAATCGCAATGAGTTCTCGATGTCTGTTTTGTTCTGCGTGAGAGGATTTTCCGTTGGCGTTTAATCATCAATCTATACATATCGTATAAGGGAATATTAAGAAGCTGTTTCCCAAAATTCCTAAGCGAAGTGCAGATATGTAATGAATTCTACAAAGGTGGCCTATCGCGAAAGATTAGCTAATAGAAGTATATGATAATATGAGTATCGCGATCCAAAGATGTAGTTCAAAAGGTAACCTTTACGAAAATCTGAATTCTTTGTTCAACAACAAGTACAATGACAGGATCTTTAAAAAATGGCAGATTATGTTAATAGCTGTTACATCCTGAGGGAAGAATGCCGCGCCAAAATCAGCATTGACATCTGCATGCCTGGCTTAAAGCCAATGCTAGTTATGATGTTGTAAACGACGGTAATATAGCTAGCGAGTATTGTTTGTTGCGATTTTGTTGTCAAGTTGTATGATTACGTTATATTGACACAACTCTATAAGGATAAGGGCTGCATATTTGTTGTATAAAGCAACGGGACCAATATAAGTATAATCTCTTTGTCTCCCTGTGGCTCTGTGATGACTTCTAAAAGCATACGTAGTCCGATGTCGTTTTGAAATCTAGTTTCATTCTATAATGTATAAATCAATTTAAAATAATGGATACTTTCCGAGTTAATATTAATTAACCAAATAAAAAAATTTAAAGATTCTATTTCTACCGTGAAGCAGTTGTGTTTGCATGGCTGTGTTTCGGTTTGAAGGGTGGGATATGGCGTGATTTTACAGGGTACAGAGGAATAACATCTGAATCCTCAGGAATGGCGACGCATGGGGGGTATCATGAGCGAG